CTTCTTCTTCTTCTTCTTCTTCTTCTTCTTCTTCTTCTTCTTCTTCTTCTTCTTCTTCTTCTTCTTCTTCTTCTTCTTCTTCTTCTTTTCCTCATTATCATTATAAAAATTATCACCACCATTATTTCACTGTCATCGTTTATTTCTTTGCCCCCCCCCCTCCAGTCCCGGAACTCGCCGTATATGGAGGTCGCCGACCGCCTGCTCCGCCGTATTCTGGACGTGACTTACGAGACTCTTGAGGACATGGGCGCCACCAAGGAGGAACTGGCCACTGTCCAGCGGAAGCGGAACTACATCCAGACCTGCTACTTCCAGGCCATCTCCTGTTACTGACACGCCCCACCTTTCGCCTGTCGGTCTCGTCCTCCGCGAGATAGATGGATTCTTCTGGGGGGGCTCGGGCTGTTGCGGTATCCACACGTCTTTTATCTTTTGGGCAACTTACAGACGATGGCATGAGATCAAGACAGTTGGTTGTGTCGAAAGGGGAGGAAAAAACCCACCTACATTTAACATAGAAAAATGAAATTGAAAACATGAAACGAAACAAGGCAAAACGGAAGAGCTGATTTGTTCCCTATGATAAAAGTTAGTAACAATTATTTGAAATTCTGAAGTTCTATTTCCGGGTCGTTTTTAGATTGCAAGCAAGCAAGAGGACTATTCTTCAGAATTTGAATCTAGTTCATTGCTAGTGAAAATGTACAAGCAAGATGTAAGGGCTTTTCTAAAATCTTTCGTGACTTTGACATCCTTAAAAATGTTGGCTCGCTGTCAAGCTTAGGTCGAAACGTTGAGATAATAACGACTTACTCTGATGCTGGTGTTGTTTGTATCTATGAAAAACTACGATATCTGCTATAACATTCAAGACTATGTATTGTACGTTATTGTTTTGGGTGACTTTTTAAAGTTAAAAAATGCTGAACATACGTATATATTTTCGAAATACCGAGGGCCCATAAAAAATATGCAGACTTTAATTAAGCTTGTAAAGTTCAATCCTTTCTTAAATCAGTTTTGTAATGCAATACTTCATTTCAGTCGTGAATATCAATGAAAAATACGTCTCCAGCTGTGTGTTATAGCCCCCCCCCCCCACCCCACAGACATACATACATTCTTTTTCTCTTAGTATCTTGACTGGCTGTTATAGATAGTTTTCTTCGTTTCGTGATAATTTCTGGCCTCTTAGAAGTCGGCACGATTACTGGAAAATGCATTTAAAAAAAATAAATCTGTTCCTCATTTATCAGAAATACCTGATCCCTCTACTACTACGGTATCCTCATACATCAAATCTTCACCGTTTTCTTTAACAAATTGATGGGTAATACATGTTTGTAGCTTGAACCCAATCATTTTTTAGAAGCAGAAAATACCGACGTTTTCAACTAAATTTGTCGTGACGAGACAGAGATTCGGCTTATTACATAACTTATAAAAGTTAACATCTTCATGCAAGTTTCATTATTTAGACGATATCATTAATTTTATTCCCTTCCGTCTTGTTAGCCAAAATAACGAATGTAGGTTTTTTCTTCTTCTTCAAGGAATTCAGTTTCTTTAAATGAAATATTGTCGGAATGTAAAAGTTTGATGCCGTTTTTAAAAGAGGTCTGTGATAGTAATTGTTAGCAATATAATCTACCAAAAGTGTGTTTTTTAAGCACTCTCATTATAACAACTTTGACTGATTTAAATGGAAAGGTATACCATCTCCATGTCATGTGCTCCGCCCATAAAAAATCGACTTGAAACGAAACAAATTATGAATTCCTTCAATCATTTTCCAAAAAGTGTCAGACAAACCAAGCAGTAAGGACTGAGTGTTCACTACAGTCGTATGCTTTGTGGCCGCCTGAAACGTTTTTTCTTTTCCTTACATTTAAATTAGATAGTAAAAGAAGAAAATCTAAGAACACATAATAATTTGAAAGACCCGACACTATCATTTAAGATTTGTAATTTTAATTTTTTTGGTGCTTTTTATTATTTTTTTTTAAAGAAGAAAAAAACCCACCCGATAATTTGATAGGTCAGACACTTTTATTAGGGATTTTAAATTTCATTTGTTTTGTTTTTCTTTTTAAAGTGCTTTTTGACGTCTTGAACAGGGTAGAAAAGTTCTCACTCGTACCAAGTACACATTATTTCCTGGTACTGCATCTAAAATGGCAAGTGTTTCGAACATTGTGCTTCAGAATCAGAAGCCAAGAATAATATCTACTTGGGGTGCAAGACGACAGATTTGTTAATGACAGATTTGTTAATGACAGATTTGTTAATGACAGATTTGTTAATGAAAGTAAAGGCTCTCAAAACACAGTGCACTTTAGCTATTGGCATCGGCCTCAGAGCGTCTGCTCAACAGTTAGCAATTAATTTTTCTCATCTCATTAAAATTTCTTTTGATTTTCATACTTCGAAAGTAAGAAATTCTTGACAGGAGCGATGGAGCAGCGGTGAAATATTACCAAGTCTGTAAATTAATTGTATGTCTTTTTAAATTTCTCATTCATCTATCTTGTTCCCCTCATCCCACTGTTTCTCCTCGTCTCTCTCTCTCTCTCTCTCTCTCTCTCTCTCTCTCTCTCTCTCTCTCTCTCTCTCTCAGTCGGACACCCCCACCGACGTAACAACGTATCAAA